CAATAAGGTTTTAGTTGTTAACATTAAATAACTATGTTAGTTATCATGAACAATATTTATATAGCATTTATGAATCTTAGTTGATGATGTAAATTCAGATGAATAATGTAACAGGATGTCATAGGTCAGTATCAAATGAGTGTCAAATTATTATTTGCAGCACAACATTTTTTAAGTCCACGTGTATGTATCTTTAGATCTTTTTATGTTGTAATTAACATAATTATTAACCTAATTATTAACCTAAACTGATAATGTACTTTTTTTTCAAAATGAGATGGGGTGTAAGAGATGTTTTAATGACACTGAGTGAGTTTGGAAACATTCTTGGTGTTTTTGTATTAGCTCTGTAATGTGTTGAGAAATGGTGTAAATTAAAGGGGTTTTAAAAGTCAAGTCTCTCTCTCTCTCTCTCTCTCTCTCTCTCTCTCTCACCCAACTACCCACCCACCCCCACACTTACCGTTGGTGGCCATCGGTGGGAAATCCTAGGAGGAGTATATCAAATTCCAGAGCATGTGCTTTTTACACAGCCCTAAATAGCCAACTTCCTGTTGGGCGGAGACTATGACATGCAGTGTGAAAGTTGTTTGGCTCAATGAGATCTATATGTGTACCGAGTTTCATATGCAAGTATAGTGTGAGATATACATCAAGTTTTCTGACTGTGTTCCAGGGTGCGCTGTAGAGCCCCTGTGCCACGCCCGGGTCCCAGCCTCTGTGGCATCCTAATGACCGCAGATTCCAACGTGTGTCTATTTTCAAGAGTTTTTGAGCATGTTAAGGCCCCCAAAAAGCCCCGGATAGTCGAAAAAAAATAAAATAATAATAATCCTTAGGGGATCAATAGGGACCTGCGCCATATGGTGCTTTTCCACTGCATGGTACGGCACGGTACGGTTCACTTTTGGGGGGTTTTCCACTGGGTACAGTACCTGGTACTTTTTTCAGTACCACCTCGGTTGAGGTTCCAAGTGAACCGTACCGTTACCAAAACGTGATGTGTAAAATCTGCTGATCACTGATTGGCTGGAGAGAATCGTCACTGAACTTGCGACACGAGATACAACAGACCCGCTAGATTTAAATCAGCACAGCCAGCGAAGGATCGAATGCAACTGTTTTGAACGAGCGCACCTTTTTTTAACAACCCAAAAATGGCTGTTTCGTGGTCTGTTGAGGAAGTACAGACGTTCCTCTCATTGACAGCAGAGGAGTGGATCCAGCGAGAGCTTGATGGGGCGATGTGGAATGAAAAAGTTTTTCAGGAGTTACGGCAGTATTATGTGAATAATCCCACCCACTCTAAAGCGGTACTAAATTGCAGTGGAAACACAAACCGAGCTGAGCATTGCCATGCCAAGCCGAGCCGAGTCATACCACGCAGTGGAAAATCGCCATTAGTGGCTTGCAGTGATGGGCAGTAGCTTCGCTACAAGTCACTGTTTTCTTAATCAAATAGCTTTTCAGTAGCGAAGCTCTTTTTTTGATCAAGTAGCGTGGTAGCGTCAACAAATGCTATATTATTCAAAGCATTCTGAAGCTCAAGCTCAAATCGGAAATATAACTGCTAAGGATCACTGATCCTGGACCAGTAAACGTGACGCCACCACCGCTAAACCTCTTAACTCCATTGGCTCCTCAAACTGTCAGTCAAACTTCATTATTCCTCCCGCCTCTCTCGTGAATGAAGTGCAGCGTGCAGTTTGGAGCATCTCAGCTTGTTTACAGAATGAAAAAAAATAGCTTAGATGTAGTAAAGTACTTCTGCCATGTTGCTGTAGCTTAGCTTGCTACATTTCACAGGGCTGTAGCTTTAGTGTAGTGAAGCTTCATTTAATGAAGAGTAACTGTTAGCTTAGCTCACTATATTTTCCAAGTAGCTTGCCCAACACTGGTGGCTTGCGCCCTAATAATCCTCAGGGGATCAATAGGGCCCTGCGCCTTAGTGTCTTAAAAAATGTGTACCTTTTTTATCACTTATCAAAAGTTGCTAAATGTTGCCAAATAAATTTAAAAAATAGCTAAATTTGTTGCTAGGTGCTTTTGGAAGAAAAAGTTGCTAGGGTAGTCTGAAAAGTTGCAAAATTTAGCAACAAAATTGCTAAGTTGGCAACACTGATGCCAACAGTTGGCTTGCTCAACACAACCCAGCGTTACAATATGCCATAATTCCAGCCAATCAGAGACGAGGCTGCTAAATTCTGATTGGCTGCCTTGACAACCACTCACAACATTTCTTGCATTACAACGACAGCAGAAGAGGAAAAATACAGTTGATTTTCTGATTATATTTTTTTCCAAGCACATTTTACCAATTCCAAACAACATCAATCTTAATAACCACTATTAATCTTGTATTTAAACACTTATAATCTATATATTATTGTTCATGAAGGCTGGAAGTGAAAAACGCCTTATATTCAGGTGTGCATAATTATTAAGCAGGTTATCTTCTACAGATAAAATCTCGAGATGGACTAAAAATGAACTCCCAAAACGTACTGCCAGATTCTGGAAGATAAATTCTTCAACCAGTGGAACAAGAGGGTGTGGTGCTGGTCCTTCAAGAGTCACTCTCATCTTATCTGTCAATAAAGCATATATATACAGTGGGTACGGAAAGTATTCAGACCCCCTTAAATTTTTCACTCTTTGTTATATTGCAGCCATTTGCTAAAATCATTTAAGTTAATTTTTTTCCTCATTAATGTACACACAGCACCCCATATTGACAGAAAAACACAGAATTGTTGACATTTTTGCAGATTTATTAAAAAAGAAAAACTGAAATATCACACAGTCCTAAGTATTCAGACCCTTTGCTGTGACTCTCATATATTTAACTCAGGTGCTGTCCATTTCTTCTGATCATCCTTGAGATGGTTCTACACCTTCATTTGAGTCCAGCTGTGTCTGATTATACTGATTGGACTTGATTAGGAAAGCCACACACCTGTCTATATAAGACTCCTTGTACTTCTGGAGACTCCAGGTAGGTTGCACTTTTGGAAAATGGTGGCGCTGGAGACTAAATGGTTCCTGGTGATTATTTTGCAGTTAACATGCATCTTTTCTTCTCCACATGTTTTTGACTGACCCTGCTGACCCACTGAGCATTTTGCTGTCCAATGGTTATGCATTAACTTTGCAATTTCTAGTATTGTATTCGTTTTTAATATTTCTCATGGGCATGGGCATAATTTTTGACTTTCAGTCTGAGTTAAATCTCTTTTTTGGCTTATTTTATCTGTAAAAGAAAATCTGCTTAATAATTATGCACACCTGAATATAAGACATTTTTCACTTCCAGCCTTCATGAATAATTATATATCAATTATAAATGATTAAATAAAAGATTAAAAGTAGTTATTAAGATTGATGTCGTTTGGAATTGGTAAAATGTGCTTGGAAAAAAATATGATCAGAATATCAACTTGCATAATAATTATGCATGCACTGTATTTTTCCTCTTCTGCTGTCGTGGTAATGCAAGAAATGCTGTGAGTGGTTGTCAAGGCAGCCAATCAGAATTTAGCAGCCTCGTCTCTGATTGGCTGGAATTATGGCATATTGTAAGGCTGGGTTGTGTTGAGCAAGCCAGCTGTTGGCATTTAGAGTAGGGATGGGCGATACCCCTTATTTTGTTTTGATACGATACCAATATTTTTCAAGGCAGTATCGTCGATATCGATACCGATTCGATACTTCTGCACTAAACTTTTGAATTATGAAATGTATTAAATTACTAAGAGTAAAATGGGTAATGAAAACCACTTAACTTTGTTTAAAATGCATTTTAACTCGTTTAATCCAAAATTTTTGACACTTCGGATCGATACGCCCATCCCTAATTTAGAGAGCATTGAGTGCGGGCATCAGGTGAGCAAGCTAGTGAAACGTTGCAAGCGCAAAAGAGTCTGCACACATCCAAAAACTTATTTTAAATGCAAAATTGATTTTCGTGCGCTCAAAATACTTTCTTCTTTGCGAGACAAACATTTTCTCCACCAAACTCAGTTCGCGCGCGTGCAAAACGCACTTTTGCGCTCTCAAAATATGATCTTTCGCACGCAGAATTGTGGCAGAGGTGTAATCCCATATGCGTCCTGCGTCATCAACCTGGAACTAAAGTTCGATTCAGTTCGATTTGTGAACCGGCTCGACTGGTTGCTTCCTGAGAAGTAGGGGGGAGCCAATGAGTCATTTATCATGTAAAATACACATGCTTAGCAATGCTTGAAATTTGTTTAATAATCCAGTTATCTGGAAATATACACAAGATGAAAAACTAGATGTCATATCAAACTCTTTTATTTTGCTTACAATCCTGCGTACAATGAATTAATGTACCCAATTGTTTAAGCTAATTTTGTACCTACTTGACCATAATCTTTTTATTGTAAAAATGCAGAAAGTTTTCTGTTAAGCTTAGGTTTATCTAGCTGTATAAAAACGATAAAAGTCTAGCCAATGTCCACAATTAGGTAGCTAAGCAAACCGACTGTTTAACTGTGTGTGTGTGTGTGTGTGTGTGTGTGTGTGTGTGT